ATCAGTCAGTGACAGTCTTCTGTGGTGTAATGTTAGCTTGGTTTAGTTTCTGCTGATCATTGCTATCTGCCATGAGACGACAGCAGTTAACAGACTGTAATAATGTTATCGATCCGTTATGATTGATCATATGTGACCTACAGGAGACTAGTCACAGACAGCAGGTAACTCATTTATGATGCTGACAAACCTGACTTAGCATCAGTGTGAACTAGTCAAGAAACATAGCCTGAGATTTACAGAACAACTTTTAAACATGATGTTAGTTCATGTTTTACCATCAGAGGCTCCAGTCTGATGTTAACTTACAGTAACTTCAGCTACAGTAACGCAGGTCACTGCTTTTATCATCGTCCAGATGTGGACAGAAAACAACCAGTTACTGAGATGACTTTTACACTCACCTGGAGGGTTTAGCTTCACTTTTGGAGGCAGCAGCATCGGTAAACAACAGCAGCAGGTAAATGTGGGCGGGAAAAGAGTTGTTAGCTCTCAGTCTGACCAATCTCTGCTCTCTGGCTCCACCCTCTTACAATCTTTTTTCTTCTGGCTCAAAAAATCCAACATGTGAACCAGGAAGTAGCAAAATCCTGGCTTCATTTTCTCAATGCCGAAACCAATGGTTGTCGTTACGGTAGCTATGTCCATCTTTCTTATACAGTCTATGGCATGGATCCTTCTGTTTTAATTGTGTTTTTGTTGGCACTTACCATTGTTTCTTTCAGTAAACATATGTGTTGGGATTTATGTTGAATTATTAGCAGTTTTACTGTTCAGTGTTCATTTCAAGTATTTATAAGGAAACATTCTGAAATGCAAAATATGTTGTTAAATTTCAACATGAAGACAACATGGAAGCAACTTGTAACTTTGCACATATGACGATAAATAGGCAACTATGCAAACCAGTTTTGCAGTCTTACAGAGGAGTCCACTGCCCAATGTCAAAATTGCAACAAAAAAAAAAGGAAAACTGTTTTACAATATTTTCACCAATCAAATTCTGCTATATTATAGGCCTTAAAAGTTGGTGAAATTCTGAGTAAATACTGTATTTTATACAGAAAGTATGGATACGTACGTCTATATACACTTACAGGAACTTTCTGAGGCCTTGTAACCACCATGTTAATTTAGCAGTAATGTCTGAGCCAAATTTAAAGGCTCTGAGAATTATATTTCTGAAGATGTTGAACCCTCTGAATATGGCTTTCCAGCAAGGACTTATTTTTCTTTAAGTTAAAAATAAAAATTTCCCAGGTTTGAAAAATATGTATAAATAGGTTCAGCCAAAATGTAAGAATACTTAGTTTTTGGCCCTGATGATCACATTTATGAAGCAAAACCTGAGATAATGGAGCAACATATTTCCTAAACTCTGTCTGAATTGACACAGGCTGACCATACAGTGAGGTTTTATGGTAGTTATTGTATATTTATGAAATTGTTTGCATTCATTTCTGTGTACTAATATTAATTTGTACAGCAAAAGTGCTCGTTTCTCACTGGATAGAAATAAAAACACAACACAGCAGGATCTTAAACAATTATGTATTGACTGATGGCTTACATATGCAATTTCATTTCCAAGACGCTTGGCATACCTTTGTCCATTCTTTAACATTTATTAGCCTGACATGAGAGGCATTAGATGGTTAATTAAACCTTCAGGACACTTCTCTTTATTGGCTCACAGCTGACTTTCAAATGACAATTTTTTTATGTGACAAACCCTCAGTGTCAGAGTTGTAAATATTTTTTCTATATTAGCAACTCTGAATCATTCAAATTTTGCTGACCAGTTACTTCATTATTTAGTGACTCATGTCAATTATAAAATAAAACCATCTAATGTGTAGGGCTCTTGTATTTAAAAGCTTTGCTTTTTCTGGACTGGGTGACAAAAAGCCCTACACACCTCTTAGATCACACTTTACCACAAGGCATTTCTCCATGAGGATA